GAAATTACTGTTCACATCCACACTGAATCTAGCATCTCCAGCCTAAACACCAGGCCGTGGGCTAGATCTCAAGAAAAAGGAAATTCAAGGCAGAAGGAGAGCTGTCAGGTAATACAAACCCAGTAACTACAGGAATGATACACAGTGGATGCAGAGTTTTCATCATATTTTAAAGTGTGTATTTCTCCCAGCGGATTATTAGCCACAGCTACCGAGGTATCTGACTGTCCCTTTCTCCTTCAAATTTTCCCACACAGTGCAAAGATTTCTTGAGTTACATTTGGCATGGGTATCTCAAATCCATTGGAGGATGTGAGAGATTAAAATAAAATGGTGGTTTTAATGGTGGTTACAATCTCAACAGAGAGCTGGCACAAAGTGCAGAAAACACAATGCTATAGTGATGTGATAAAGGCAGATATCAATGCCTGAATCTGCCATATCTTTAAGTATATGCCTCCTGCTCACCCACGTGTATTTTGTAGACATGGTCACATAAATCCTTTCATAACAGTAGAAAGATTCCTAACTTCATTATGACTCCGAAAATCTTAAATTATGTATATATAAAGTACATATTTTGTAAAATCTCATACACAAGTACTAATTCCTGTGGGAATAGAAAAATACATCAGGGAGAGAACAGAAGAGAAAGGGAGGACATGAGAGAAGCTAAAGCATATTTATTATCCTGCTGTTGCTGTCAATCTTTTAATGCTCTACAATTATTTGGCATTTCCCATGAAAAAGTGCCCCTGACAACCGAGCACTTGGATTTCTTCCAGAAGACAGTTTTTCAGATTGATAAAAATCCCCATCCTCAACTTTGTCCAATGAAAACAGAAAAAACCCTCTCAGTAAGGCGTATGTGTTCAAGTTGGATTTCCCTAAGTTTTCGGCAGGCTACATTTTTCTTATGGACCTTGGATAAACGGCCTCTGCTCTGCTAGTCAGCCCCTTTTCAGGTTTTGCTGTTTTGCTTTGGATGCCAGTGTGGTATAACTGCTACAGGATTGCCAATGACTGAATCAGTGCACAAAACTGAGCAAGTTTTACCTCCAGGCACTGTTTACAGATGGTGTACAAACTATTTCTAGCAGATACCAATGTCTTCTTTCAGAGGCTAGTTATCACTGCTTGCATGATGCTGGGAGTTGATAGTTGAGGATTACAAAGCATGTCAGTGCTGGGGCAGGGAACAGCATCTTCTCCTGACTCCTACTCTGCTTCCCTACCTTAAACACTGTTTAGCTGCTCCTGGAAAATTCCTTTCCTACAGAAACATTTATCTTTAAAAGAAACCAAAACCTTCCTTACTTCATACTTCTTAACATATCAGTAGTGCTCTAGGGCATCAGGACAGCAAAACACTAAACTCACCAAAGGAGAAATACAGCCCTGTTCAGCTTCACTCCAGTCAACAATTGCTTGCAGGGCAAAGACCTTTAAATGCTGGTTGAAACCTAGAAGTCTTTTATGTAGACTAAGAAACTAGTACGTCATAGATTCTAGAAGAAGAAATGCAAAGCCAGGAGCGCAGCACTGCACACGATGCAGGGATGTCCTGCCTGGGGCCAGGGGCTGGCTTCACCGAGTAACACCCAGCTCCTTCCTCAGAGCAGCTGTCCACATTGCTGCTGCTTCTGCTCAGTGCTTTATTTCTTGGTCAAAAGACAACACAGTTGCCTAATCTTCTCTAGACTATCTTCAAGTAAACAGCATCAAAATTTTTTTGAGAGCCTGAGGACTGAAATTTTATTACTACTGAGTGAAGACAAAATATGTTCTTATTTCATCTTAAAATACTGCAATTGTAAATATCTCATCAAATTCTCCTAAAATGGGAAACAATTAAATATCTTATAATAAAAAAATCCCAACCCCCTTATATTTCCAGTTTTTCTTCAATAGGAATACCAAGAAAAAAACTTCTTTTATTTGTTTTCACAGCCTTTTGCACTAAAATGTAATTAATGGTCATAAATTCCAAGAAATACTTTCTCCAAAGCATCCTTTAAGAGCCTTCACTTCTTACCCAGTTTATTTATTTCACGGAGATTTATCCAAGGTGGAGTCAATAACACTGCAGCTACCTACTCATCTAATCTCCAGCTCAAGCACATTCAGCAGAGCATGCCAGAATTTGGTTATTCAACTCCAGTTGCAGCAAGCCTGCCCCATCCCAGCACAGCAAAGGCTGAGCAAAACCTTCTCCGCAATTACTCCTGCAGCACCAGAAGAAAATGCAGAAGGTCCCTTTCCCCTATGATTTTTTCTTTTTTGTTGGTACACAGCTCATAAATTAAAGAATTACAGGAAGAGTAAATGAAAAATGTCAAGAAGTCAACACTCCTGGCACAGGAAATACATGAATGTGTACAGCACAGAGACATCCTAAAACTAAAAGTATCACTATCCAAGAATCTAAGATTAAATTAAGACTAAGATTAAATCCCTCAAATGTATGGTTTAAATTGTGAAAATAAACAAACTGTAAAACATAAAATTTTAGTTTCAAATAAATACCCTTTTCATTTTGGAAAAAAACCCAGCATACACTCAGAATAACATACCAGGCCTGTCCAGTCAGCAACAGGGCACAACCAAAAATAGGACAACAAGGACTATACTAAAGCAGAGATGCAAAGGTTGTAACTAAAGAATTACTATTTAATATTAAGAATGGAAAAATAAATTGCTGGTTTGGTCGTGTCAGACCCAGTGGTCTGTGTGTTAGTGAAAGATAGTAAGCAATACTTTGTAACCCCAAAGAGTTTGTAACCAGACAGTTAATAAAATGAACAAGGGGAATAAAACAGATAGATGTGGAACAACAAATTATGACCACAGCTGCTTTGAAGTAACGGGCTGCACAAAATTGTTGATCCAGCCTTTTTTTCCAGCTGCTAAACTGCATTAATATGGCTAAAAATACCTTTTCTGCTTTTTTTGGTTCTCCTTATTGTCAAAGGAGTTGTGTGTAGCAGAGTAAGTGGGTCACAAGCCATATTATGAAAGGACTAGTGAAAATCTTAACAATTTTGAACTCCTGATTTCGGGAGCATATATTTTCTAAGCTAGCTTCAGCTCCAATAGTTCGTTCCTGTGTTTTACTGTTTCCTTCTTTTTTTTTTCTTCCCTGAGTATCTCATAGGAGTTGCTTGAGTCATATCACACACAGACTATAGAGAGTTTCAGCTACTATAGCTTCATCTCTAAGATTCTGTGAAGCAGGGAGTGTTCTTAATTAATTCCTCAGACACCTAGCAGACAGAAACTAGCACCTTTATCTACTGTCTACTGCTCCCTTCCACTTCCAGGCGTGAAAGGCCCCGGGTCCAAGCTGGCAGCTTTTCCCAGAAGAAGCATTTTCCCTGAAATGAGCCCCACTGAAAATGACAGGACTCGGCAGCACACAATTCTGGCAAAAATTGCCTCTAAACAAGAGAAAAAGCCCAACAGTTTTTAATCAAGGAGATGTGTCAGGTCCTGAGGCTTGCACCTTCTTGCAGAGAGTGAGCTAAACACTTCAACAGTAAAATGAAGTCAAAGCAATAGCAGGTTTGCACAGCTGGTACCCTCACAGAAAGCATATGCCAATCTCACAGTAGACCAGGACTCGTAAATCAGCTTTTCAAGTGCAAGTATTGCACAGAAGAGATGCAAAAGTGCATAAAATTGTGGGTTTATCTTATGTACCTTTGGGGCTGAGGTTCCACATTTAACTCGTACTGTACCCATGGACACAAAATGTCCCACAAAGACAGACCATTCCTTAATAGGGATCAATTTCATTCACCTTCTGATAGGACAGAGAGATTAATTTGCTTGGCCAAGAACAGGACAGGAGATGTACATCAGCAAGCAGATCCTTTTGAAAGAAATGCGTTTCTTTTTCCAGCTGCTGAATAACACAACATTGGGGGTTTTTTATTCCTTAAAAAGAGGAAAAATTAACAAGCAGCATTTACAAATGTGACACAGTCTGATTTGATCAATGTTTTCTCCCTTTATTAAGATGTTTGTTAATTATTCATTCCATAATTTTCCTTAAATGCTTGCTCAATGCATTAAAAAGTATGTATCTCTATACGTTCAATTATAGGCGGAAAATTTCTATTGCTTGACTGGGGAGTCATGATGCCAACAGCACTCCTAGCTTGCCATCTTTGAAGACAGAATCATACTTCAAACTTAGTATAACTAGGTGTTTCATCTTAAACTGTAATTACTTTCTGCCTCAGAGCTACACAATGAAACATCTTCCTATACTTAAGCATCCCAGAGCACAGCCAGCGTGCAAAAATTGGACAAAGAACATTATCGATTTTCTCAAGGGAGTACGATATTTGCTAACTGCCAAGAACAAACTGTAAGTATTCATGTCTAGTAAAAGGAGATGCATGTGAGAAATTACATGTCACTCTGTCCACATTCCAGAAAATCACTGCAGCTGAACGAAATCTCAGTTTATTGCAAACCAAACAATATGAAATACTAGAACAGCCTTTAGTAATTTAGCAACACACGTATGAAGAAAAGGATAGAAAAGGTTTTATTTGTGGTAACAAAAGGAAGAAACAAACTTCAATGTAAATATTTGATGTTTAAATATAAGGTTCGGCAGAAAAAGGTTTAAGAAAGATTTGACACACAAAAAAAATAATGTCACTGCCTCCAATTTATAAACATGACCCAAATATTCTGAGAAAATAATGGCATCAGCACTACAGCTGAAATTGCAACTCACCTGATACAAAGAATAAAAAGGCTAAAATTCAAAAAGGTTTCCATACAAAACACACACATCCATGCTTTCTTAGTATCTCTCCACAGCAAGTTATTACAACCACATCAGAGCAAGGGGGTAAAAAAAGACAAGCAATGACTTTAAAGAGTCATTAATCACAACACTGCTTATTACAGAAAGGAATCAAATAATTTAAAAATCATTTCAAACCCACAACCAGTAGCTTGATCAAAACAACAAAAATCCTTACCTGTGTGTTCTTATTCCTGGCTTCTCTCCTTGCTGCTTTTTCTTTCAGCCTCTTCTCCTAAAACAAACAAGGTGCACAGTTTTAAAGCAAACTTCTGTATTTTTTTTTTATTTTTAATCTTTTAAGATTAAAGTTGAGTCATCTAGATATTTTTAATGCTTACATGTTAAACTGGTGGTATTCACTACATGTTACTGATGAAAAACAATAAATAAAAGATCTGATTGAGATATTATTCATTCTTCTTGCTTTTAAAGGAAATAATTAAACAACAAGAATGACTCAAACTCATATTTTATCTTTACCAAGACTTGTTACTCTTAAAGGAATAATGCAGCTAAGTTAATTTAATAAAGTTAGTATTTGTAAAATAAGGTAGTTAAAATGGCACCAAGAGATCCAACTTCTCTTATTTCTCAGTGGTATAATATGAAATCAAATCCATGTAACAAAGAAAACAAAAAAATTTTCTAACTTCAGAATGGCTAAAGCAACTGGGGAGTGAAAGCTAAAACACCTCCATTACTAACAAACACTCTACAAAAGCATTTGCTTAGTAATTGCATCGATTCAAAAACAATACCAAATCCCTCCACCAAAGAAATTCTGCTACGGGAAAATGAGCTAAACACAATGATAAAACTCATTCAAAGCTGCCTGCCAGATCTGTGACATACAGAAGTGGCTAAGATATTTAATTCAAACTACATTTCTTGTGGCTTCTTTCGTTTATCTTTAAACTAACTGAAGTATTATCTCTAATTTAGACTATGTCAGGTCCTTCCAATTGAACATCCTTTAAATTGTTTATTTCACGAGAAAAGCACAGAGATCAGGGGAGAGCACATGTCTTCTGGAAAAGCACCCTGCTCCCTCTTTTTTTTTTGTCTTAGTGATGCTGATGACATGGGTATTGAAACTTTTTGATGCTAGGACAAAAATGTTTCTGGAATATAACTAAGTTTCTTTGAGCAATATAGGCCATTCCTAGCATCAGCACATTTAGAGTCGAGTCTGTATAATAGAACACATTAATATCAGTCCAGGGGCAACATCTCAGCACAGAGAAGGCTGAAGACCAGTCACATTTCAGCTCACTTGTGGGAGTAATGAGAAAGCTACAGCTTCAGCAGTCCTAGTGCCATTTCATCACAGTGATGCTGCCAAAACACATTGGTAGGTACCCCATAAGCTGTTTGGAAAAGCAGTGTCTGAGTGCAGACCTGGGAAAAGGAGAACACAGCCACCAAGATTTTCTAAACTGTTGTCTAAATTCAGGGGGGGTTGAGATATTTATTGGGTAAATGCCATTTTCTATTCTCCCAGTTGCTCAAACTACAGAAGTGTTAGCTTATTTTCAAAGTCCCTTTCTAAGTAAGTCAACCTCTTCTCTCCAAATCAAAACAAACAGTCCCCCAATGCTGTGTGCAAAGCTACCTGGTACAAACATCTCAATACACTCACAGTTACCTGGCAGGGTCTTCAATGCATGCTATGAAACAAAACAAAAACCCTGCCACTGTAGACAGATACAACACAGCTATCTTATTACTTCAGATTTGCTGAAGTATGAAAAAGCAATAAAAAATAATAATGACATTTAAGGCCACAAGGGCATCATATGGGGCAAGTACTGTCTGGTCCACAGAAAGTTTCTCAAACAAACTAGACCTATGCATCATGGTCATAAGATGGTCATCCATTTTATGATTCCTGCTCTTCCAAGTCAAATTTGGATTAATTTCTGATTATTTTTACTTATGCTTTTCTAATTTTTTACTAAAGTTTTTGACTTAAAATGTTTTAGTTGCACATTCTCCACTCTTTGGGGTTACTATCGGAGTTCTCTCATTTTTCTGCTAAAACCATAACCACTGAAAAACTGAAGGAGAACAGAGCTAAAAATTAACATGCCAGCTGTTACAAAGCAGGATAAAGCAGCTTTTGACTTGGACAGTCCAGAAAACTTTGAATAGAAAATTCTGTGGTGTATGAAAAGTCATGTCTTAACCACAGCTACATGCTTAAGCAAATACAGCAGTAGTCAAAGTTCCTGCTCAAGGGATTTATAAAACACAGCACTGAGAAGACAGCTATGAAAGCAGAAGATTGACATAAGGACACAGGAAAGTATGCCAGACAGCACAATATACTTTAGTCCCTAAAGAATAGTAAAGACATAAAAAGATTCTAAAGTTAATAGGTGCAGAAACTGAAATCAGGAGCACAAGAGAAAAACAAGACAGGGAAGCAATCAGCAGGAGATGCTGTCAAGACCTTTTTTTCTCTTTCTTTTTTTTCCCCCCAAAGAGGGAGAGAGAGGATTTCATTCCTTGTCAATGAAAAAGAAAAGCAGATTTTGCAGAGAGTGCCTGTATGTTGGCACTGAGTTGGAGTTAGGAGTGTATTTCAGAATGTCCTAATCAGGCCTGCTTCTGCTGTTTTGCACTAATACACTCCAAACAACACTGGGCATTTGCAGAGTCACAGGATCATTCTGACTAGGAAGAACATCAGGGGGTCTCTGGTCCAGCCTCCTGCTCACAGCCGGGTCAGCTCTGAGGTGAGGTCGGGCTGCACAGGGTCTCTCATCCAGCAACATCAAAATCCCAAGGATGGAGCCTGCATATCATCTCTGGTCAGCCTGTGCCACAACCTGACTGAACTCACACAGAAAAAGTTCCCCTTACATCCATGATCAATCTTATTTTCACTTAGAGCCATTGCCTCTTGCCCTCTTGCTCTGCACTGCTGTGAACAGACTTGCTCCATCTGTGTATTCTCATGACCTCTCCACAGGCATTGGGGGGTGCTGTCAGGTCACCCCAAAGCCATCTCTGCTCCAGACTGAACAAGTCCAGCTCCTCCAGCTTCAGCCATCCTCTCGGTGACCTCAGATAATCTCACTTCAGTTTGTTAACACCCTCCTGTACTGAGGGTAGTGGTGGTGTGCAGGATGCCATAAATACCGAGGAATGACTTCCCTCAAAGTGATTTAGTGCAAAGCATCAGATATGAGCTAATACAGTACAACCCCACCACCACCACACAGCATGCAACCTGGTTCTTAACACCAGCTTATCTTTCTCTGCAGTCCTGCTCTTACTGGGCTGCTTCACTTGCACGTGTAGGAATAGCCATCAGGCTTTAACTTGGGCTTCAATTCAGGAAAACAATCCCATTAAAACACCTCTTAAATTTATGCAGAGCTTCAAGCATACAGGTAAGTACACACAGTGTGCTGAGCAAATGCTTAAATATTTTTCCCCAGTCAGGATCTTATTTCCTGCTACCCAGAGGACAACTGTATATTCTACTGTGCCAAGGTAATACCCCCAAATAATAAAGACACCCTTTTATATGACTACATAAAACCCATAAATTAACTGCCTTGCTTTAGGTTACAAAGCATTGCTAGAGCACAGCCAGAAACAGATCTCCAAAGACTCAGGTGAGTATTTTGACTACAATGACCTTCATTCTCATACTGCTACTGCCAGGAAGAAACATGAGAACGTGTAGAACACATGTGGGCAACATATGGTAAGACAGCTCTAAAAAATAATCAATGAGGCAAAGTTGAACCAGTCAAACGATTGATATTGATTTATTTCACATGAATAGGATCTGTTCATCTATGCATAACTACCTGTAATTAATAAACTGTCCAATACTAGTTTTCATACATGGGAAAAATAACAGAAAAGTCTGGATTTTCTTGGAATATCTTAAGTGTAACACAATTAAGTGTCAGATTTTATCACTATTCTATCAAGCTATAAATCATTACTTGCATTAAAGATGAAATAGATTTTTCATATATTTCAATTTACTAGGGCAGGAAAACAAAAGACTATGCTTCAAGATATGGATACTTAATTATGAATGTTACTGACTGACACACTGTTATAGCATAACTTCATAACCAGGATGATGAGGTTGTCAGCTAGAGCTCTAAAACACAATCTGATTAAACAGTTTTTATCTACACCAGTGAAGTCAAGCATCAATCTTTGCATTTGTACTGAACAGCTCTCCTTTGCACCTTCTTCACAGCTGAAAGATCTAGTTGTATCCTTTAGAGGCTACCAATACTGAGGATGAGAAAGAAGTTTAACTAAAAATCAGTGCAATAATTTGTTGTAGCTTAACTCCTAAGAAAATGCTTCCAGCCCCTTTAGACAAAAAACAAGTGATCTCACTAACTTAAAGGCAGTAGCCAGAACATTCATTTATCATATTAGGTCAGCAACATGCTGTATGCAAATTTTGAACAGTGGTTAAATGCATATTATCTAGATGTCATTTAAGGAACAGTTTGGATAGAACCACAGGTTCATGAATTTATGAAACAGAAGAGGTGATAGGATCAATGTGCCTGAGTAGCACAACACAGGCTATAGGACTGAATAACTGAATCAATCTACTACAGTGGTCATATCCTGTTTTAGAAGAGCATTATATCTAGATTTTAAAACATTTCACTGAAGAACAGTGCACCATAATCTTTCCAAATGTGCTGCTGTTAGTAGTCTGAGCCTACTTATCTTCGACTTTTAGACCACATCTAAACTGTTTAACTGGTCTCTCAACCAGTTTAAAGGAACCCCTGCTATCAAAGTTTAGGTCCTTATGTAGACATACGCTCATCATGCCTTTCTCTCTCACAAGGTGAAGAAAATCAACTCCAGATGTCTCTCAGCATATAGGTCTGTTTTCCTAAATATTTCAGGAACAGACATATCCAAGATTTCACCATCTCCCCAACCCTACTTGTCACTTCTTTTTGTATATTCAATAATTCTGTCAGCCCCTTCGATCCTGTCAGAAAAATCCCACTACAATAATTCATGTTGACTTGATCAACTATCGCATCACCGAAATCTCTTTCAAGGCTATATCTCTAAGGAAAGAGCTCTCAGCCCTAAAATTCTATTCTAAATTTCTTCTTCCTAGAAATTTGCATTTCTGCCTATTTTACAACACAGCTTTGTTTGTTTGAGCCTAACTTAACATGAAAGCTTTCTTCCACGTCACTAAAAAAATCTTGAAATAAT